TCACTGTGGCATAAAAAGTTTGTAATTAGGCCCCAGTGCAGCTTTGAAACAGTTTCGGACGTGTGTCGGAGTAGGAGAACATTGTCGTCGTCGGAGACACGCCCACCGTAGGCAGGGTATGCGCTGATGTGGGTCGAGTCAGAGTTAAAAATTTGACAAATGATTTTTTTGCACCACGGGATTACGGAAAAGTGTTTGATGTCAGGAAGGCCCCAGATTATGGGATTAGGTAAACACGCCCACTGTGGGCGGAGCATAGCCGATGTGGGCGCGGCTAAATTCAGAAGTTGGTCCCAGAACTTTCCAGGAAGCAAGTTATACGGATAAATTCTTCTCACTGTCATTACTTCTGTAATTATAATACAATCATTGGCGCCGCTCTGCTTGGACGGGGCACTTTGCACTTTCGCTAGTTCCTTTTGCTCGTTTTATGTGAATCAACGCGTTACATTTTGGTGGAACCTGTGAACACTTGCGGTGGTATAAGTGACTAACTTTGACAGGGATTTACAGGTCTTCACAAGACGGCCCTGCTAACTATCATTTGGTGCCCTCACCAACCCGAACTGCCTCCTGTTTGAATTTCTACTATTATATACTGTTAAGATTCGAATAAAATGTAAGTGTTCTTCATTTAGACAGTTGGCACGGGTATTATTGGTTTTCTACCGCACAGCGTCTTGTTACTGTCAGTGGTTTTCGACGTCGAACTGAGTGTGTGGGCTATTCCAATCTCTCTTGGCTCGGCTTTTATCCCTATCGTGGCTCCGCTCATCATGTTTTACAAAGTGGACGCATATCGTAGTTCTGTTAGGGCGCTCATTATCGAATTCTATCATCGTCATAATAAAGCCCCCACAACAACGGCCAAAGTCGATCAACGTTTACCAGAAGCCTGGCCAGCTCAATAGATTGATTTTTTGATCGATCAATAAATTGACTGATCGGACTTTTCTGTATCGATTTGTTTGCGTGTTTGTTCAAACTGACTTGATCATTAGCACTCAGAAACGCCTATATTTACTTGGCACTATCTCATACAATATATTTAATTGACTAGTCAAGAGTAGAGGATCGGTCCCTGTTCCAGGGCAAACAAACCCAGACAGATATGAAAGCGCTGACCTAAAGACACATTCCGTGATAGTGAGATGGGCGGAGACTTACAACCACTGGAGCGGCGCATTCATGAGAAAGGCACAGTGGCTATGGGTCCCCGCCCATTTCTCCGCCCATCCCCATCGACAAGTGTGCCTATTTACGCTATCCAAAAACCTAATGAAATTCAGGAACATTTAACTAATACTCCTAAATATATACTTAGAAACGCAATTATAATCGGAGAAATTTAAGAAATATAATCGCATATGGCGTCCCTGAACGATACGGAAGACGGCGTATCGATTGTCTTTAAGCATCTCCAAGATGAACTTCCGGAACATCTCCTTCTGCTCCTCGTTGGGGCCATGGACCTGAAAACATGGAGAAGTGAGAAGTCAAAAATAGTAGGCTTTTGATCGAATGGCAAGCAAGAGGTACTTTCCGTATCAAATGGCAGAAAGGGGCGTTTCTGAGTACACAGAGCAACGGCCCCGTGCCGACTTCTCTTGCTCACATAACGGGTCTCTGTTCCTCCTCTTTCTGTACTCTATCAGCGGTCGCCGGGAGCATTTGGAAACGCCTCCCTCGACCCTCAGATATGGACTGGACTAGGCTACCAGAGGACGCTTTAATGGAGTTTCCAGCAAAAACGAGTTTTCCCCTCTGATGGCTGACTACTATTGAGGTAGAGGTCGCTATACCGTGGGACAGCTTCCCTAATGGTGTGATGAGCACGCTTTCGGACAGGACTCGTCGTACACTGGGAATCGTCAAAAGGGGGGGGGGGGGAGGGTTATTAGTCGCTGGAGGGATTCTAAGCTCTGTTTCGTTTAAAGAGAAATCGTTCTCCCGTTTCTTACACGCGCACTCAAGCTTTCCCTGTCCCTCTCACCGCTCCTTCCTATTTGGCCTGCTGGCAAACCTACTATCTGATAAATTATCGTGGGGTGAATAGCTCCTCTCACCACTCGCCGATTTTTTGTGCAAGGAGTCATACCGAAGGAAAGAATTTAGGGGTAGGGTCGTGTTTAGCGCAAATTTATCCAACGCCAGGGAGTGTCTTTCCCTGGAGATATGCTTGATATCAGGCCTTTCAGGAAAAACACAGAGTAAAGGACTACACTCTTTGCTGACGTCGCAACGATCGTCGTCGCAGGTTGTTACATGGGAAGAGGACAAAAAGTTCGTATTTGGAGCCACCTTCCAAGATAATTCCCCCCCCCAACCCACCTAATCAAATAACAGACGATCATTGGTGCCATTCCACTAGACAAAGTAAAGGGAAGCGTCGCGGCTGACTCATACAGGCAGCTGAACTCACAAATCGAAAGAGCAAATCACGGCGCCCACCCCTAGCACAAATGATCAGCAAAAAATAGAAAAAAATGTTTTGCAAGAGATGTTCGAAGGAATTTCGTCAATCGCCTATTGAAAGTGATAGGGAAGGGTAGCATACTTTAGGAAAACTTTAACAACTTCCCCCGGATTAGTTTTGAAGCGGATATGGTAGTGGTAAGTAGCACGGTTAGCATGCGCACGGTCTGGGACTCAAGTCCTGGATCGGCTCCCGCCCATACTAACCTAGCCCGTTCGGGAACGTGAAATTGGTAGGAAATTTGTCTGGGAGGAAAAGAACACTGGTTTGTATCGGGTGGCCCTTGCGAATCATTGTATAGACACATCACATTCAATAAGCTACTACGGTTCTGAATGGAGGTGGAATGCGTGCCGCATCCCAGAGAGGGGTTTATCAACGGGCAAGGCCAGCAAGGGCGACGGGGAGGGGCATTTTGCACTTTGTTGCTTCACTAGTTCCGGTTTAGTCTTACTCTGGTGAAACCTGTGAACTCTTGTGAAGCTGGAGCAAGCTCGTCAAGCCATCATGGTAAAACCTGTCAACTCGAGAAGAGGCTGTCTAGATAGGTAGGCACATCGATGGGAAGTAGAGAACTGTAAAATGCCCCCCCCCGCCTCCGTCGCCGAACTGCCCCACGGCAAAGACTTTATCATCTTATCCCGGGTTGGAAATGTAATCAAGAAAATCTCTCACCTCAATGTTGAACTGACACAAAGTGATTCCATTCTGATCTAGTAGTCCGCCGCGATAGAAATACGGGAACATATCGTACTCGGCTCCTTCGGCATCAATCCAGATATCGTCGTATACCTGCCATTATGCGTGATTTAGGACACAACCCTTTGACCCGCATTCATATGGCTGATATCGCCACACTCAGTAGGGGCGGTACTAGGAGGGGCGGAGCGAGCCCGTCTCTGGCTGCCTTTCTTCACCAATAGTGATCAGTTAGTGAACGATTCAGGGAGAAGAGAATTAGTGATGAAAACGTTGCGTGTTGGCTAATCCTATCCCTTACATACCCCCCCCCTCTCTGGCTGATTGCGATCATCAGTGGTACCTATTGCCGCACGAGAATGTGAAGATCTGTAGGAAGTATGCATATCGATCAGGAGAGTCAGAGAATTGGAAACGTAGCGGATATCATTACTCTGAGTCCCACTGTGTTGTGTAGCACACCACAGGATTATAAAGTTCAGTGTCAGGCCACGTACAGTACCCCCGAAAATTGCGCGTGAAGTTAAAAATGTCGCGTCGTGAACGCACACAATCGGGCGCACCGTAATCGGTTTAGTTACCCAAGTTTGAGGTGCGTTTAATAGCTCAATTATACACCTGCCCGCCGTGCCCAATCTACAGTGCCCTAACGCCTAAATAAAGTGCGGTCCGTTTGGAGCCAAGGCCCGTTGTGTGAATCACGGACAACACAATTAATCCCACGCGCAATTTTCGGGAGTACTGTACGTGGCCTGACAACCTGAACTTACAATCTTATGTGTAGCACCCGCAGTCATTATCACGTAGTCAGTTGGGGCGTGGCAGCGGCGCATGGGTTTTGGCGTGGTGCCAGCCTGCTTTCCATCGATTCGAGGGCTCAGTGAGTGATGCGAAAGGGAGTAGGTGCCTCACCAATACTCAAGCGCAGCTGACACAACCGACTGACTTCAGTGATATCAACTGTGCTTTGCGATTCTTGCCTTTAGGCGATTCCTGAAGTAGGCAAAATTGGCGCTACTGCAGAATAGGTCCACGTCTGAGTACATTACCTGCTTAAAGATGGATGACGTGTCGTTGACGTCACTCAACATGTTAATGACCGTCTCGGATTGCATTATGACTTCTCATTAACATGCTAGATGACGCATCATCTAACTCTTTACTGGTGACGACACCTGCACCTTTTCGTAACCCTTTTTGCGGACTCCTCCATTCTCCAGCGGCACAATTTGTACTCTATATCTCGGAGATGGAAGGGGGCGTGGCTGGGCAGCGTGACGGCGGTTGCGTTTTTGGAGGGACATAGCCGTATTGATGCTATTGTAGTCTTTCCAAGACGCGTAAGAAAGATGTCAGTTACTGTGAGCGGAAAGATCCCACGAAAAACACATGGTGCGCCATATTCAAGTGAGGCACTAAGCCACGCCCCTCCCATTTCCGGGATATCGAGGGTAAGAGTGCTCACATGATATCGAGGAACTAAGTAACATCATAATAATACTCACCTTATGCCCAACTAGCTCTGTAAGAAAGTAAACCAGCTCGATATGAACGACGTTCCGGTCGACGTATGAACCTGATGGAATATCCTGTTAGGCAAATAGTATGGGTGCTAACGGCGCAGACGTGGTTGGAGGGGTGCCACGCTGCGGGGCCATTTTGGTGACTCTCGTCGTCTGCACTCTTCCAAGGCTGAGCCTGGGGAAAATATGGACCACTAACCTGTTGACTGGTTCAGAAAAACAGGCTTTGACGCGCCTAGGCGTGGCACTCCAACCAGTTAGCGTTGAGAAATACAGTCATGATCCCTGCAGACGATAGGGCGTGGGACGCGGCGCGGATCGCAACGCAGCCAGGGCGCTCTTTCTTCTAGCAATCACGTCATCGTGAGCCTGATAGAGCTGGTGGAAAAGCTGGTCTGGCTGCGCTCCAAGCCATGCCCCGTCACACGCCCTATCGTTTGCAAGGATTACGACTATGAGAAAGATTTACTTACTGTTGATGAGAACGTTTGCTTTGGAGATTTTCGATTTACCACCCACGGCAAACGGATAGTAGGTGCCGAACTCCGAGTAAAGTTTTTCGTTTACCTCCTGCATAGGATCAGCGCCATAGAATAGCGAATCCCTTGGCAGTTCCTGAACAAATTGACAAGGCCCATTGTCTGTCTAGGAGCCCTAGCCCGGCTCTACTTACCTTGAGTAGCGCTTTCTCGGCTGCAACGTCATGGCCGATGCCCAGAGTAACGATAACGCTTCGTTCCTGCTGAAAAAGAAGAGTTACAGGCACAAGGCACGATAATTCGGTACTTTCGTGAAAATAGTAGCAGAGGTGCTGTATAGTGGGAAAAGAAGTTGAGCGGCAGAAAACCGTGAAACAAATCCTTGTTTTGCACGGCACTGGACGAGCATTTTTGGACGAGTTCCTCGCTGGCATCGTGCCAACAACCGCTTTGAGTAGATACGGCTGCACGTATGTTTTCATATGTCCATATAGCAAGCGCTTCATATCAATTGTACTTCATAAATGAAGCGATAAGGGTACCAGTGTCGATGTGACTGTTCGGCCCTTTGTGGGCGGATGGTTGCGGTGGGCATCTGGGTCGGCATGTTGCACCTGGGTCAGGAAAACTGTTGTGATCAAACAGGTGGTGCAGGCCAAACACAAGATTTGGCGCGCTCAGTATGGCAGTGCTGAGGGTAGGAGTAGGGAAATGGTGTTCGCAGTCTTGTTCGTTGCAGATGCTGGTGCCTGTGAGGAGGCGGGCTTGGCGTGACGCCAACTCGTTGTCCACCAATGAAGCAAGCAGGCGACGACTATTGGTGGAAACTGGGCTCGATACGCGTCACATACAGCATGGAAGATGGCTCGTCCGACATGTTCTGACACGTTTCTTGCAAATAAACATGGCGCCCCACGCCCAATCAATACAGCTGGCGTCAGCCTAGTACTCGTCCGACAAACTCGTACAATCGTCAAAATCTAAGGGGCTCTATTCTGGGCATTTTTTTACTTGCAATCTCTTCACCAACGCGCCGCCTTAGTCGTCCTGATTCATATTCGAACGCTAGTACGCTCTTCTTTCAGTTGTTCACTGTGTCTTTAGGATACATTCTAATTATTTAAATACGTAGCTGGATAAAAAAAAAACACAGATTCAGTCTGTCAGAGTTGCAGTCTTGTTGCCCACCTGATTAACAGAACGGAACTGATTTAAAGGTTTCAGAAAAACCTAAATGGCCTTGAACGTACCTTTAGGGGTGGTATGTGCCTTTTCGTCTCATCACCATTGTTGAAATTCTTAATTTTCAAGTCGGCCATAAACGGCAGTTGCTCGCAAAGTTTCACACCTTTCCAGAAGTTTCCCCATAACTGCAAAAAAAAATCGGATTTTCCGAAGTGAGCCCTCCTTTCGAGGAGGAGAACCGACCTGCTTTGCGTCGTTCTCATATTGCGAGATGTTCTTCTCTATGCATTTTTTCCACTCGTAAAATTGACTTTTCACTCGGGAATCGGGTTCTTTTTGAAGAATCTGAGCGAAGGTGCTTAATTATGTTAATCTGTTCCCCATGAAGTCAAAATAAATAATTTAAAAAAGCAAAAAATAATAAAGCAACTGATTATTTAGTTTACTGCTAGCCGACAAGGGCCAGGAAGGTTTTGGATATCCAAGAGCCGGCATTTCTTATTCTCCTTATTACGATTTCCGACTTTCGGTTGTTAGAAATGAGGTTCTCCTTCCGATTCCCTCCTAAGTTACATTACTTTTTTCCATTGATTTTCAACACATCCATAAATAAGC